AGGGATTGTATTAAATCCATAAATAGATTTGGGTTGTATTAACATCTTAAATGTGTTAATGCATGAAAGTGTGACATCTTTTCCTTTATTTGTATCATTTTAAGTATTTTTCAGCAACATTTTCTAATTTTCAGCATACAAGTTTTTCATATCCTTGGTTAAATGTTTTAACTAAGTGTTTTATTCGTTTTTGATGCTATTGTAAGTGGAATTGTTTTCTTAATTTCCTGTTGATATAGTTTGTTTTTAATATATAGGAAAACAACTGATATTTGCATGTTGATTTACTGTCCTGCAAGTTTGCAGAAATCTTTTATTGCAGTGCTTTTGTGTTTTTTGGTGTGGAATCTTACAAATTTTCTGTATGTAAGATCATGTCATCTGTAAACAGAGATAGTTTTATTTTTTCCTATATAGTTTGGATTTATTTTATTTCATTTTCTTGCCTAATTGCTGTTCCTAGGAGTCCTGGTGCTGTTTTGAAAATAAGAGGCAAAATCAGTCATCTTCGTCCTATTTGTAATCTTAGTGGGAAAGCTTTTAGTCTTTCAATATTGAGTATGATGTTAGTGGTGGACTTTTGTTATATGGCCTTTATTATGTTGAAGTAGTTTTCTTTTATTCTGAATTTTTTTAGTGTTTATTATGAAAGTGCATTAATTTTTTTAAAATACCTTTTCTACATCAGTTGAAAAAATGTATGGTTTTTTCCTTCATTCTGTTGTTATATACTACATTGATTGATTTTTGTATGTTGAAACATCTTAACATTTCAGCAATAATCATTCTTGATCATGGTGTATAATAATTATTTTAATGTGCTGTTGGATTCTGCTTTGTTGAGAATTTTCTATCTTAGTATTCCTCAGGGATATTCATTCGTAGTTTTCTTTTCATGTAGTCTTTTTCTTGCCTTGGATTAGGGCAGTATTGGCCTCATAGAATGAGTCTAGAGGTTTCCGTCTTCTGCAATTTTTGAGAGTTTAGGAAGATTGGTTTTAATTCTTCTCTAAATGATCAGTGATTTTACTACCAATAAAGCCATCTGGTTCAGGGCTTTTCTTTGTTGGAAAGTTTTTGGTTACTGATTCAATTTCCTTACTAGTTACAGGTCTACTCAGGCTTTCTGTTTCTTCATGATGCAGCCTTTGTAGGTTGTATGTTTCTAGGACTTTGTCCATTTCATCTAGGTTATCCAATTTGTTGACATACATTTTCTCTCAGTCCATTTGGAATGCTATAAAAATACCTTAGAAGGGGTAACTTACAAATAATAGAAATTGTATTTATCATAGTTCTGGAGACTAGAAATGCCAAGCTCAAGGCTTCAGTAGATTTAGTATCTTGTGAAGGCTCACTGTCTGTTTTATAGATGGTGCTTTCTCTTGGTTGGTTCTCACATAGCAGAAGGAAGAACAGCTCCCTTCTTCCTCTTTTATTAGGGCACTAATCCCATTCATGAGGGCCCTGCTCTCATGACTTAATCACCTCCCAAAGGCCCTACCTTGGCATTTAAGTTTCAACATACAAAGTTTTGCAGGACACATTCAGACCATAGTGCAATTGTTTATATTATTTTATTTTTTTACTTTCTATAAAATGGGTTGTACTTTCTTCATTTTCAGTTCTGATTTTAGTTTTCTTCTCCCTTTTTCTTAGGTAATTGAGCTAAATGTTTGTCAGTTTTGTTGATCTTTTCAAAGAAGCAATTCTTGTTTTGGTTAGTTTTCTGTCTTTTTCTATCCTCTATTTTGTTTATCTCTGCTCTAATCTTTTAAATTATTTTCCTTTTGCTATATGTAGGTGTAAATTGTTCTTTTTCTAAGTATTTAGGTTGTAAAGGTAGGTTATTGATTTGAAATGTTTATTCCTTGTGTAAGCATTTATAGTTATAAGTTTCCTTCTAAACATTGCTTTAACTGAATCCCATAAATTTCTCTTGTGCTTTCTTCTCTGACCCTTTCATGTTTAGGGATATCTTGTTTAATCAATATATGTGGATTTTCCAGTATTTAATTTAATAATATTAAATTAGAAATGGAAAATTGATTGGAAAAGATACTTTGTATTATTTCAACCTTTTATATTATAAATATTTGTTTTGTGGTTTTACATATGGTCTGCCCTGGAGAATGTTCCATGTGCACTGTAGGAAAAAACAGTATTTTGTCATACTGGGTGGAGTGTTCTGTGCATCTTTTAGGACCAGTTGGTCTATGGTGTTGTTCAGATTCTCTGTATGTACTGATCTTCTTTTCGGTTGTTCTGTCCATTGTTAAAAGTTGGGTATTTTTGTTGTGTTTTTCTCTCTTCAATTCTGTCCGTGTTTGTTCCATATCTTTAGGTGTTCTAATGTTTGGTGTGTATATATTTATGATTATTATAGCTTGTTGTTGAATTGGCCCTTTCATCGTTATATAATGCTATGTCTCCTGTAACCATTTTTGACTTGTCTGTTTTTTTCTGATATTAGTATGCTCTTTTTTGGATACTATTTTCCAAGGAATATCTTTTTCCATCCTCTCACTTCAACCTATATGTATTTTTAAATCTAAAGTGAATTTCTTACAGAAAGTATGTAGCTAGAACCTGATATTAATGTAGGCAAAACACATACACACACACACACACACACACACACACACACATTGTTATGAAGTTTAACTGATTTATATTTAATGTAATTACTATTAGGGAAGAACTTACTATTGACATTTTGGGGGGTTTTTGTATGTCTTAGAGCTTTTTTACCCCTCTTTTCCTCCCTTACTGTCTTCCTTTTTGTGTAGTTGATCTCCCACAGTGCCATGCTTTGTTTCCCTTCTCATTTCCTTTTGTGTATATTGTATAGATATTGTATTTGTGATTGCCTGGGGCATTAGATAGAACATCTTAAAGTTATAACTATCCATTTTAAACTGATAACAACTTAATGTCAGTCACATGCAAAATCTATGCTCCTTTACAACTCTGCACCCTCCCATTATATTTTGATGTCACAAATTACAATTTCATATTCTGTGTGCCAATTAATATACATTTATGCTTTTGGTTTTTAAATCTTTTAAGAGTTAAAAATTGACTTACAAACCAAAATTTCAACAATGCAGGGTTTTATATTTTTCTGCATATTTTTGTTTACAGAATTACTTTATATTTTTGTAAGACTTTGATTTATTCTTTAGAGACCTTTTATTCCAAGTAGACACACTCTGCTGGTGGTAATGAACTTCCTCAGTTGTTTATCTGAGAATACTCTGATTTCTCCTTCATTCTTTGAAGGACAGTTTTGTTATATATGTATAATTTACAGTTGACAGCATTTAAATTTTTTTTTTTAGCACTTGAAATATATCATCCTACTGTCTTCTGGCCTCCATGTTTTCACTAAGAAATCAGTCACTGATCTTACAGAGTTTCTCTTGTGTATGACAAGTCAGGTTTCTCTTGCCTTTTTTTTTTCAATGATTCAGTTGTTTTCTTTGACAGTTTAATGATAAATTCTGCTTATATCGTATTTTTAAATTATTCCTACTTAGCGTTCACTGAGCTGTATGTATTTGTGTGGCCATTTCTGCCTGTATAAATTCGGAAAATTGTGAGCCATTATTTGTTTAAATAAACTCTCTGCCCTTTTCTCTCTCTTCACCTTGGATTCCCATAATGCTTATGCTGATCAACTTGATATGGTATCTCACATATTGCTTAGGTTCTATTCATATTTCTTCATTTTTTCTTCTTTTTCCTCCACAGATGCTAATTTCAAATGACCTATTTTCAAGTTGACTGATTGTTTCTTCTGCCTCATTGGTTCTGCTGTTGAATCTCTGTAGCAATTAATTTTTCACTTCAGTTATTGTACTTGTAACCTCCAGAATTTCTGTTTGGTTTTATTATTTCTGTCTATTTGTAGATTGTGTTAGGGTTTTCCGGAGGGACAGAACCAATAGGATATATGTGTATATAATAGGGAGTTTATTTATTAGGGAAGATTGGCTCACAGAATTATAAGGCAAAATCCAATGGAAGGCCCTCTGCAAGCTGGGGAAAGACAGAAGCCAGTAGTGGCTCAGTCCTAGTACGAAAGACTCAAAACCAGGGAGGCCAACAATGTAGCCCTCAGTCCGAGGCCAAAGGCCTGAGAGTTTCTGGAAGACTGCTGTTGCAGGTCCCAGTCCCTGAGTCCAAAGGCTGAAAAACCTGGAGTTAGACAGGAGGAAAGGAGGCAAGCATCTGGCATGGGAAGAAAAAGAGAGCTAGAGGACTCAGCAAGCAAACTTATCCCACTTTCTTCCACCTGCTTTGTTCTAGCTGTGGTGGCAGCTGAACAAAGTGTCCACTCACTTTGAGGATAGGTCTTCCTCCCCAGGTCGCCTGACTCATATGTCAGTCTCTGCTGGCAACACCCTCACAGACACACCCAGAAAAATGCTTCACCAGCCATCTAGGCATCCCTCAATGCAGACATGCTCATGTTGTTATTATTATTCTAATTTTGTTCATAAACTGCTTTCCTGATTTTGTTCATCTATCCATGTTCTCTTTTATGTAATTAAGCATATTTAGGGAAATTTGTAAAAATTATTTATCAATTCAGTAAGAGATGTGTGTTTTTTAGGGCTGGTTTCTGAAGATTTATTTTTATCTTTGGAATGTGCAATTTTTTTTCCTGTTTCTTTATATACTTTGTAAGCATTTCTTGAAATTTGAGTGTTTAACAAATAGCCACTTTTCCTTGTCTCTGTGGACTGGCTTAGTGCAGGAGAAGTACTTCCCCAGTTACTCCATTATATGACGTCTGGGTCCCTTCAGACTTTTTCTGCAGTTCTAGCATACCACATCACCTGCCTTTGCTGTCAGTGGCCTCCAATCTGCTATCCAAACTATGCCACTGTTTCTATCAGCTCTCCAGGTCAGGTGAGACAGAAATTAGTCTCTCAAGTAGTTCCCCAGACCTAGAATGCTATAAGCACATTCTACACCTTTTCTTCTCTCCCTAGGTGGGAATGAAGAATTGGGCATCCTCACGTCATCTGCACTGTGCTGTGCCACTGGAGGTGAGACGTGGGATAGTCCGAGCTAGAGTGAGCAAAATGTAATGACGTTTTCTACTCTTCTAATTGCAGCTCTTTCTTGGTCGAGCATTAAAGTTAGGTTCTACAGCTTCTTAGCTGGTTTCTAGAGTTCTTACAAAGCCACTTTAATCCATGTATTATTGTTTATTCAGGGTTTCCATGGGGGGAAAAGGACATGAAACTTCCTAGTCTGCCGTCTTATTGATGTTACTTCATGTGGAATTTTTATTTCATTTTCAAATCAAATTAGAATCCAGAAGAATCAATTCATAATAATTCTATATTAACAGTATATTTGTGTACTTCCTATACCATTCTCAGTGCTGGTATGTCTTTTAGGGTTTTTCCTCCAAAACAAGTAGGGAATTATTAGCAAATTGTGTCTGTAAAATAATTTGTGTTTTAGCTTGGGAATAACACATTACATTTTTGCATGGATGAGAACATACAGTAACTTTTAACCTTAGTTTCAGATTTTTTGGTAACATATCAATTATTTTATCAATGAATGTTTTATCCCAAATATTATGATTTTTACCTTGCTGGGTGCTGGGAATTTTGATATTCTTATAAATGTTCCTGAGCTTTGTTCTAGAATACAAGTTATTTGGAAAACAGCTTGATTCATTCAAGTATTGCTTTTATGACTTCTAAAGTAGGATCTGAGCAGTATGTTTAGGCTAGATCTAATTATTCCTTACTTCTAAGACAAGACCTTTATGCTTTAGAAGTCCTGTGAATTTTCAGCTTTTCTATTCTGGGTGCTATTAAGAAGTAGCATTTCTGACCTGGTATGATTTTCAGATACTTTATCCTTCTGGGTAGTTCTTTTAAGGTCTTGGGAAGATTCTGTACATATGCTGATGAATACTCAGCTAAATACATGAGGATGAGCTGGGTGTGGTGGCTCATAACTGTAATCTTAGCACTTTGGGGAGGTTGAGGCAGGGGAGTCGCTTGAGCCCAGGAGTTCACGACTAGCCTGGGAAACGTAATGAGACCCTGTCTGATATGATTTGGCTGTGTTCCCACCCACATCTCACCTTGAATTGTAATAATCTCCACATGTCAAGGGCAGGGCCAGGTGGGGATAATTGGCTCATGGGGGCAGTATTTCCCATACTGTTCTCATGGTAGTGAATAAGTCTCATGAGATTTGATGGTTTTATAAGTGAGAGTTCTCCTGCACAAGCTCTCTTGCCTGCTGCCATGTAAGATGTAACTTTGCTCCTCATTTGCCTTCCATCATGATTGTGAGGACCCCCACCCATGTGGAACTGTGAGTCCATTAAACCTCTTTCCTTTATAAATTACCCAGTCTCAGGCATGTCATTATTAGCAGTGTGAGAACAGACTAATACACGCATGTCATTATTAGCAGAATGAGAACAGACTAATACACTGTCTCTACAAAAAATTAAAAATTAGCCACGTATGGTAGTGTGTGTGCCTGTAGTCCCAGCTATTTAGGAGGCTGCCTTGGTTGTGCCACTGCATTGCAGCCTGGGTGACAGAGCAAGACCTATCTAAAAAAATACATGCATACATTCATATAAAATAAGTATTAATACTTGAGGATAACCCTCACAGTTCTGAGGACTCACTCTATGCAGCTGTCTCTTTTTTTTTTTTTTTTACATTTTACTACTAACAATAGTCATGTTGGCATATTCCCAGATTCTAATTTCCATCTTTTCAAGTCAGGGGTCCTCCTGGGTTTCCCATCATTACCACAGCTAAAACTTGTTCAAGGTAGCAAGGTAAAGTATTCAGACACCTGACCTTATTTGTTTTGTGCTCTTAAGGAATGGATTATTCTCTTTCGTTGCAAGATGCCCAGTGTCTGTCTTGCAAACTGTTGTTTCATATATTTTGTCTGTTTTTTGTTTATATCAAGTGGCAGTCCCTGTTACTAATTATTGGCCAGAGGCAGACGTTCTCAGTAATTTTATGTTCCTTGCATTACCAGATACAAAAAAGAAGAACAGGTTTTCTTTTTTCCCCCACCTATATGTGTAACAAATGAAAAACTGATGGGAGTGGAAAGAATAAGGAAAAGGTGTTCAATTATTTCTGCCTTAAATTGTTTAAAGTTTTTGTCTCCAAGCATTAAAAAGCCTCCAGGAGAAAATTTTAGGTTTCTATCATAGCAAATACTGTACAATTCATAAGGTGAGGTTCTTTGAAGTCTCTGATTTTATTATGGTAAAATTTTGTAGAACTTCCCCAGAAGTTTCAGTTCTTCACTTTTGCACAATAAGATGAAAGATTAGTTTATTAGTTTTTATTAGATTTATTGATAAGACATTTTATGTGTCAGAGAGTGAGAAATAAATCTGATTAAAATTTGGGGACCTTCTACCTCAGTGAAATTTCTAGGGGTTCAGTGGTATGAGGCCTCTTGAGATAACACAGGGCAAAGGGTATGTTGTTGCATCTGGGTCCTCCTTCAATCAAAAAAGGGGTACAATGCCTAGTAGGCTTATTTATATTTTAGAGGCAACATATTCCTCATTTGGGTGTGTTACTCTGGCACATTTACATAGTCACCTGATAGCTGCTAGGTCTGATGGGCCCAGAACAAGAGAAATGGATCTACAACAGATCTAGGCTGTTGTACAAGCTGCTGTGCCATGTAGTCTATATGATCCAGCAAATCCGATGGTGGTTGAAGTATCAGTGGCTGATAAGGATGCTGCTTGGAGCCCTTGACAGGCCCGAATATGTGAATCATATCACAGACCTTTAGGATTTTGGAGCAAGGCCCTGACATCTGCTGATAATTACTCTCCTTCAGAGACACAGCTTCTTCTACAGGGTCTTAGGAAATATTGAATGCTTGACCATCGTCCACCAGGTTACCATGTGACCTGAGCTACCCATCATGAACTGGGTGTTAGCTAGCCCACTAAGCTATAAAGTTGATCATGCACAACAACACTGTTATCAGATGGAGATGGTATTCACTTGATTGGGCCTGAGCAGACCTTGAAGCACAAGTAAATTAATGAAGAAGTGGCTCAAATACCCATGTTCCCCATTCTTGCTACACTGCTTCTCTCTCCCAGTCTTTACCTATGGCTTCATGGTGAGTTCTCTATGATCAATTGACAGAGGAAGAGCTCAGGCCTGGTTTACAGATGGTTCTCAACAATATGCAGGACCACCCAAAGGTGGACAGCTGTTGGACTACAGCCTCCTGCCTGGGACAACCCTGAAGGACAGTTGTGAAGGAAAATCTCAGTGGGGAAAACTTTGGGCAATGCATCAAAATTGTGCAATTGGAAGGAGTAATGGCCAGATGTGGTATTATATATTAATTCTTGGGCTGTCGCCAGTGGTTTGGCTGGATATTCAGAGACTTGGGAAGATAATAATTGGAAATTGGGTGACAAAGATACTTGGAGAAGAGGAATGTGGAAAGACCTCTTTGAATGGGCAGAAAGTGAAGATATGTGTGTCCCATGTGAATGTTCATGGGTGACCACAGCAAAGGAGAATTTTAATAAGGCAGGGGATGGGATGACCCCTTCTGTGGATACTAATCAGCCTCTCTCCTCCGCCACCACAGTCATGTCCCAATGTGCTCATGAACTACATGGCCATGGTGGTGGGCATGAGATTATGCATGGGTTCAGCAATATGGATTCCCATTCACTAAGGCTGGTATGACTGTGGCCACCACTAAGTGCCCAGTCTGCCAACAACAGAAACCCACACTGAACCCTGTTACATGACACCATTCTTCATAGTGATCAGCCAGCTACTTGGTGACAGGTTGATTACATTAGGCCCCATTCATCAGTGAATGGGAAGATTTTTGTTCTAAGTATTTCTTACTTAATGTTGTTACAGATGTTTTTAAATTTTATTGTATAATTGCTTTTAATATAGAGAAAAACATTTATTGTTCATAGACTATAGTTGGTGACTGCTTTTCAATCCAGTTAACAATCGTTTCATTTTAATTGGAATGTTTAAATTAATTGCATTTAATTTCGTTATCCATATATTTGGATTTAAATCCACCATCTTTCCATTTCTTTCTATTTTTCCTATCTGTAGCCCTTTTCCTTTTATTTTGCCTTCTTTAGATTGTGTCTTTTAAAAATGATTCCTTTTCATAGCTCTACCTTGGTAGTTTATTATTTACATATCACAATTATTACTCTATGTGGATTGATTGTCAGCATTCTCTTCTGTATAATTTATCCTGGTTTTCTGTTTTTCAGATTTTCCTCTTTTAATTGATTAAACTTTTTTTTACCATATTTTTTCTGTTGTTTGATGTTGTACACTTTAAATATTTATTTTAGTGGTTTTGCTTCAAGTTTTAACATATATACTAGGCAGCAGTACTGAAAGTTAGTTTATTTTACACTGCTGAAAAATGCAAGGCCTTAAGAACCTTTAACTCTCCTGACTTGCTTTTATCTTTCATTGTTTTAGTTTCTAGTGTTTGAGTTCTATTCTTTTTATTTTTCTACTTATTATTGAGATTGTTTCAGAATATCAGTGTCTGTTTAGATTTACCCACAATTTTATTTATTTATTTGCTTTTCTTCTTATATTTTAGTCCTTCGTTCTCTTGTCATTTTTCTTCCAGAATTTATTGTGCCTCCCAGATCTGAGTATTCATTGGCTGTCAGCAGTTAAGAAAAATTTTCAGCCAGGATTGTTTTGAAAATTCCCTTTTCTACATTTGCTTTTGTGTTCAGCAGTACACTTGCAATAAATACATTTTATGTAAATTATATCTCAATGAAGTTATCTAAAATAATGAAATTTCTATTCACTATAATTTGGATTTTCTCATTGATTTCTCCATCTCTCTTTTGTAATATTCTTTTCTAGCTGTTTATGTTTTTCATGTTGAATATAATCTTCAGATACTCATTGTATTTCATTGTTGTGGCTACATTTAGGTCTAATCTGCTGCTAAAGCTGTCCATTTAATTTTTAATTTCACTCCATTCATTATG